CTGTGGAGCAGCTGGACTGCTTGGTAAGGCGGGAGAACAGAAAGACACTTTGTGGAGGCTGGGAAGAGGAATATGTCCCTGCTACCCTGAGAAGGGGTAGAAGCTCTTTTCACGCCGGTAATGAAAAAGGGACGTAGTTCTCCCACACCCTGAGCACTGATCAGCTCCTCTTGCGCTTGTCCTGTTCCCCATAATCCCAATTTAGAACCGGGACAACTACATCCGCTCCTGCAAGCTGCTCCCCGACGGCCGGAGCCTCATCGTGGGAGGGGAGGCCAGCACCCTGTCCATCTGGGACCTGGCTGCCCCCACGCCCCGCATCAAGGCCGAGCTCACCTCCTCCGCGCCCGCCTGCTACGCCCTGGCCATCAGCCCCGACGCCAAGGTCTGCTTCTCCTGCTGCAGCGACGGCAACATCGTGGTGTGGGACCTGCAGAACCAGACCATGGTGAGGTGAGCCCTGGGCAGAGGGCTGCGGACCAGGGCAGGGAAAGGGGGGAGGGATGCCAGCTCCTGGGGAGTCTGGGGTACTTTTTTAGATCAAGGAGCTCTATGAAAGGGGTTTTCCTGCTCTATTTCTATCCCCGTGGTCCAGCCCGGCCATGGGATGCAGCAGGGATCTCCAGCTCTCCTGGCTGCCCAGGCCCCAGCTGGCCTCTGCAGGCACCGGCAGCCCTGACTGCCGCGTGCTCGTGCTTTCCATCTCCCTCTTTCCCAGGCAGTTTCAAGGCCACACGGATGGTGCAAGCTGCATTGATATTTCTAACTATGGCACCAAGCTGTGGACAGGGGGTCTGGACAACACGGTGCGTTGCTGGGACCTGCGGGAAGGGCGTCAGCTGCAGCAGCATGACTTCAGCTCCCAGGTAGGGGCTGGGGCTGGCTGGGACCATCGTGGGGCTGGCCGGGACCATCGTGGGGCTGGTACCTGACCCGGCCTCCTCCCCAGATCTTCTCCCTGGGGTACTGCCCCACGGGTGAGTGGCTCGCCGTCGGCATGGAGAGCAGCAACGTGGAGATCCTGCATGTGACCAAACCTGAGAAATACCAGCTGCACCTCCATGAGAGCTGTGTCCTGTCCCTCAAGTTCGCCTCCTGTGGTAGGAGAGCCACTTTTCTGCTTTGGCCATGTAGCTGTTGGAACAGGGTGGCTGTCTGCAGCCCCAGACCAGCTGCGTCCCTGTGGTTCCCCAGCGCTCAGACCCATAGAAGGTGTCCCAGACACTGAGCCACTTTGTCTTTTGCCACAGGGAAGTGGTTTGTGAGCACGGGGAAGGACAACCTGTTGAATGCCTGGCGGACACCCTATGGAGCCAGCATCTTCCAGGTGAGGCAGGTCCTGCCATGGGGGGGGTGGGGTGGGGGGGGGGGGGAGGGGGAGGGCTTTGTCCCTCAGTATGAAGGACCCTTAGTCCATCAGGGCCTTCAGCCCTTCTCTCTCTTTCAGTCCAAAGAGTCTTCATCTGTGCTGAGCTGCGACATCTCCATCAACGACAAGTTTATCGTTACGGGCTCAGGTGACAAGAAGGCCACTGTGTACGAAGTGGTGTACTGAGGACCCTGACTGTCACCATCCCTCGTCCATCAGGGAAGGAGCCAGGTTTTGCTAAAGCCACCTAGGACTGGCAGAACTGCTCCCACTGCTGGCAGAGGCCTCCCAGTTCAGTGCAGGGCAGAAGCCAGTGGCACGGCTCACCTGCAGGCCTGCTCTGGCAGCAGCTGCTCTTTCTCTCCTTCCAGCAGGCAAGAAGCCCCAGGGTCCCTACACATCTTGCTACCCCTTCCCACATTTCTGCCTTAGAGCAGAGGCGGGAGGCAGCGCCTGGGGTTATGGATCCTGGCGATCATTGTGGCAGGTACCCCCCCCCCCGCAGGGGTGGGAGG